AAAACTCTTTTTTAGATCGTACGAAATTTAAGGCGTCAGTCTCGGTTACTCGATGCCATTAATGGGCTGTTGTGAAGCGAAAACAAACTGTCGCATATAACTTTCACGCAGCTCATTCTGTTGGCTCGGAAAGTACCCGTGGCGTCCCTGTAAGGCGTGGTTAAAGGCTCAGATTCAAATACATTAGGCTACGGTCAATGCTGTCCTGTTCTGTGGTCTAAACTTGGCCGCTGCGCGCTGTTAAACCAACTACTATCGGGATGCTGGCAAATAGCGTCCCCTTTGCTTGTTGCTGTGTCTCAATAATCTGAAAAATTGTCCCCTTTGTCATTACGCATAAGTGGACTCTGGTAATCACTGATTACTTCTGTGTATTAGAAAATTGCCCCTAAAGCAGACCACCCGGTAGATGCGCTGTCTCAACACCAGCGCGGGGACTAGATCGGAGTCCGGCAGGCAATGTTGGGAATGCGCACCCATAATAAATGCCGACATTTGTGACGTGGCCAGCTGCAAGTTCAGGCCACTTCAATTGGGGTCCGAGCCGGTCCCCTTTTTGCTGTAACGTCAAATCTTGGTCAATGTACGATGTGGACCACGGGGTGTGGTGATACGCCTAGGCGCGGGTTTTCGCTGTGCCAACTACCCACGCTTTCTCCCGCCTCCAGTCCTCTTGACTCTGTTCTGACACCAGCCCCAGGTAGAGGGGACAGAGAGAGTGCGGTAGACGCTGCGCAAGTCCGCTGTCGTTATAAAGTATTTCACGCTCAAGTCACTGTCTCCGCTGTTGCTCTGATGTGGAACGCATGGTTGACACCGTCGGCAAAAACGGTCGAACTGTCGTATTAAAATTAGCCATTTTTCCTTAGTGCTGGGCACCGGATCTTCTTGGAGTCTACGTTTTTGTAAAACCTACCTGCACCCTTATTTCGAATGGGCGTTATTTTGCAGCAGCTTATTTCTTTTTACTTTTTCACCTCCTCCACGACACAGGTAGGTGACACACTTTGGGACACTCTGACCGACTACCACATAAAAGTTAGTATGGCCGTCACGGCAGAAAATCTGGCAAAGCGCTTCAACATTGGTCGGGAGGAGTGTGACGCCTACGCTCTTCGCTCACAAGTCCAGTGGAGACAAGGTATCCTTTTGCTTTATTTTGTGCGCTACAAACGTATGCATTGCTATGTGCCTTTTTTAGTAAATTGAATCGTCATGAAGGTGTGCTGAGATCTCTACTGCAAGGAATTTTGGTTGTCAAAGTAGCCGTTGCCTCCTTTCAGACCAGGAGCCTGCCTCCATGAGCATGCCATAACCACTAGGGATTTACCGCATTCAGTCCTCGGCTATCTTTTTTATGCTAGTTGTACGCTCAATAACTTGGTACCGTGCGGTTGTCTACCAGTCGCGCCTCTTGCAACTGCTTTGCCGTGTAAGTGTCACTCTGGCTCACCATCTGGAGTGCACTAAAATCGACGCCCTGTCCTGTTTTTTTCGGACTGCGTTGGTTTCAACCGGTTGCGGGGGCCTTACACCAGCAGCACCAGTCGGTGCTCGAGCATTCTAGTTTGCAACTTTCTAGCCGTGTTCCATAGTGCTCCCTTCGCCCTCCAGCGTTCTGGTTTAGGCGTTTAAAAAAACAGCTAAATGCGTTGGTATTCCTAGTCTTATCGCCATTTTACTCGAACGAAAACCGAACAATCTGTGAGCCAGTGAACCACTTTGGGATTGAAACTCAAATATTTTGGCCAAATAACTTATTAGACTCAGGGCCAAGCTAGAACTCATCGCGTTGTCCGACCTCTTTTGCCTACGCTGGTGTCCCTCATCGTGCTAATCACCATGGAAGTAAGTCAAAGCGCTCAGTCTTATATTCATCCTGATAATTTGTGTGCTGCGACAAAGAAAACTTACAATCGGTGAAACTGAGGAAATAACTCTCGAGGAGCCAAAACTTTGCGGTTCAGGCGGGTGGCTTATAATTAAGAAGGTCTAATGGTTATTAAGTTCTCTTTTTCCAGACAGCAATCTTTCCTTTCAGCCCAGGAAAACGGAATTTTCAAAAAGGAACTTGTTGCAGTTCCCTTCGTGGATATGAAGGGGAAGGCTGGTGTACTCGAGACAGACGAGCACCCGCGTGAGACCAGTATGGAAGCCCTGGGGAAACTGAAGCCAGCCTTCCAAAAAGGCGGCGTAGTGACTGCTGGAAATGCTTCGGTAGGTCCCTCTCTCACCATCGCAACCACCACCTATTATAATGATAAACTGCTAACCACTCGTTCGAAAGTAAGTGTTACCTTAAGGATGCATTATTTCGATTATTTTAATGCGTAAACGAGAATGCTTGCATTCCTGAGACCTGCAGTGGTGGCGTAGCTCATGGAATATTAACTGAGAGTCCGAAGTGTTGTTTCGGTTAGAAGGGTTTGCTCAGATGGGATCGTAATGTTAATTATCATGCAGCATAATCCCGAGGTGTTTGGGTTGCGACAGGACGTCTGCTCTTGGATACAACTCTTTCTGGGGGTCTGCAGACATCGCGCTCCTCAAAAATGACCACATAAGTAGTATTTTTACGTTGATCTACTGTGTCCCTCTAAGCCCGTTCATGCAAAAAACTGAGTAAATAAAACAGCACAAGTAGAATGACGTTTGTTCTTTGGTGAATTTTGCACTTAAATATCCTTTGCGAATTAGTATAGTGTCAAGTATGGTGGTCAGACAACAGCCTACAGTTTGAGTATATATTCCAAATCAGTTTCATGAGAATTGGCTGCATTTTTTTTGTTTGTTCATTGTTGGGGATTTGGTTGACCAAAAACAGGATTTCGCTTGAGTTCGCCGGTAGGGACGTTTTAGGAATAAAAGTTTTTATAAGGTCGCATGTTGACAGACCAATCAGCAACTAACCAATTCAATAGGATTGGCTGGTACAGTCGTAAACATACAATTGTGTATATTGTGAGGATTTTTCTTTCGTAAGAATTGTTTGAAGTTTTTTTCGGCGCTTAATCTAGTCTTCTGTCGGCTGTTGTCGAACAAGACACCTGTACACGGAAGATATGACAGAGTGGGATCGATTTGGCGGATTCAGCGCTTAATTCCTCACTACAACCAGCCCAACACACCTTTAAACTGCCAGCACGCGCTAATAGTCGTTACTTATAAGATCGCCAACGACGGAGTATCTTGGTCCCACTGGGGCCGAAGACCAGATCGCACTTCCTCTTTACTGTTACCTTTATGGCAGTCACTTGCATGAGGTCCGAAAAGCCCTAAATAGGGGGTCGTTATGCGGGGAGCTGGGTACCAGGTCGTGCCTGGCACAAAGGTCAGTATATTTTAAGAGTAATAGGCAATGCCTTTGTATACGGGCTGCTTGGCTTTTTATTCACGGCACCCAGACCCACCTCTGACAGTCTTGACGCTGTTTTGCTATCAGCATGCAGTGGTGTGCGAAGAGGAGGTGGGGTGGATGTATCGTATCACACACCTGCGTCCACCCCCTGGAACAGTGGTAGACCTCGCCTCTGGCGACCGCGACCATGACGACAGCGATAACTGTGACGACGATTTTGTGTACAATTATCATAATGCCAAACGTTTTGGCTTTACGAGCTCAATTCAGATAATTTACGACCGGTTTCCCCTCTCTCTCTCTCTCTCTCTCTCTCTCCCTCTCTCTCTCTCTCTCTCTCTCTCTCTCTCTCTCTCTCTCTCTTCACGATTTCGTAAACTGAGTGCTCGATGATTTGGACGAAACGAAATAGCTCTGCCGCTCGCGGATGTTTTGGTGATAGCCAGGTCAAAATAGTGGATCGCGAAGCTGAACGACCTGTCGTCAACGTACTCATCCGTGTCAGATTTTTAAAGCTTAATCTGAGTGAACAAACAATAGTCAAGTGATTTTGGTGTTCGAAAAACAGTGGATACGTGTCCATTCTGCTTTTAACTTCCTTCGTTTACTATTCCAGTGTCCACCTTCAGAGGAGCTGATGATTTTGTGAGTAAAGTCTCATCGCCTTATGTTCGACCCTAAGGCATTCACCTATAGCGCGCTTTCGGTGTATGCATGTCATTACCCCCCGTAAATGCACTCTAACTCCAGTACAGCGACCCGCAGCCCATTCCACCTAACTTACTGATCTTTCCTTGATTTTGGTTTGCCTCTTGTGCGCCTTCAGTTCAAAGGGTGACCCCCCAACTCCGTTTTCCTTC